GGGTTGCACTCGCCGCTCTTCTGCTGACCTCAAGCGACAGGAACCGGATCGAACGCCCGTCACAGGTATGGTCAGCGGTACGTAACCAGGAAGAAACGCAAAGTGCTAAGTAGTGAATAGGGGAAGCTACCGCTGCACGACAGCGGAAAGACCAAAATATTTGCCAAAAGCCCCTACGCCTCTCGTTACAAATTTCACATGCAGGAAGCTGGTACCATTCTCTCAGCCTAGGAAAGAAAGAAACCTGAACTAACACAAGGTACAGAGCTCCCTCATTTTGCAGAACTGCTGGCAGCTGCTGAGATACGCTGCGCAATAAAGCTCATCTAAATGCAAGACCGCCGGAGCTTTCCAGACCGGTCAGAAAGTTACTCTAGCATGTGTCACGCAGCATGCCCAGAGCCCAGTCTTGAAGTACGTACGCAAATACATCTAACACGATCCAACAAGCAAGGCTTACAGCAACAACTTTATTTAAATCTCGAAAGGAACAAGGTTCACAACGAGTCAGTTTAAAAAGAAAAACAGCGCCGATGCAAATACTGCCATATGCACTAGTTCGACTCTGTGCCGCGTAATGCAAAACTCTGAAATCAACTTCCACCAACACAATTGCTCCTTGCTTTACAAATTAGGCTACTCCCGCTGAAGAGTCACCAGTTACCGTCTCAGAAGTACGACACAAACCAAGGCCTAAGCGATTCCCATTACTTGGAACTGCACAAACAAAAAAAAAACAAACCAAAAAACCACCCACGAATAGTAAAACTATCTACCCTTTTTGCACATCAGTGCACTGATACTCTTTGGTGGAAATTATTTTTCTCATTTAACAAGCATGCAGTTAAACAATGTCAACCGAGAAATTTAGTTCATTCCAGTTACATGTTTGCAGTTGTCTAAAATGCTGATTTACTCGCGCTACATAGTAAATGTGAAGTTACAAGACTAAGAAAAAGCGTGCCAGTAGGACTTTGTAGGTCACAGCCCCGTAACAGCATTCAAGCTTAGGCAAAGCCATCGCTTTTTGTGGGGAGAATACTGCAGCCTTAGATAATGAAGGTGTTCCTGTAGCTGTGGTAAGATACAGGAATAATTCTGCCTCTGACACTCACTCCTGAAACTGGTGCACACGGAACTTCCTCCTCAGCTACGGCAGCGTGAGTAAGTCCCACTTCATGGCCCCCTGCTCCTAGGGAGACGCAAGTGAGCGCAAGACCGTTCCTGGCTGGCCTGCAAATCCCTTCCGAGGGCAAGTACTAAAACCCCTTCCACAGGTTTTGCAGCACTACGCCATCTTAAAACAAAGCCTTGAGAACCAACAGAGGCCGACAGCCTCTTTATAAGATATGAAATAGTTTAGAAGACAAAATTTTGCCTTCATTTTTAACAGCCAAGAAAAACAAGGATGCAACAACTGCATTTTGGAAATTAAAGGTGTAATGCACTCACTGGAGAAGTTTGGGGTTCGGTCTGCCTAATTCTATATCCTGTATGCTAACAGTAATTCTGTGTAAGGCTTCCCCAAAACATAAATAAAAATAAGAACAACTGATAATCTTCTGTGAAGAATCCCAGAAACACTTCAGTAAATAAGTATTAAAAAATAATAAAATATTATATAGTTTTTCTAGCAAGCAGAGACCTTTTCAGACTGCAGATCTGCTACCTCAAGCTTTTTCCTGCTACAATGACAATAAAGTTCCATAGCGGCACATACTCATTATCCCATGCACATGTCCCTTAAAGGGGGAAAAGGAAAAAAAAACCCAAACACCCAAAGCAAAAAACCAGACAATTCTACATTCCCTAGAAAGGAACTATACTTTTTTTGTTTTTGCTGGTAACTCAACTTCAGAGATAGTAAAGTCTGTCTGAAAGCAACAGGTTTGGTTCTCTGTGAATACTCTGACCGACAAGGAAAGCCAGTTTATGAGCATACTGGCAAGGAGCAGGTACTCTGATAACACCCTGCAGAAGGGAAAAAAGAGGAAAAAAAAGTATTATTTTCAAGTCATTTAAGTAAGCACGCGTTCACTGTAACAATGAGAGTCCTGGAATTCTAAAGTTTGGATACATACATGTAAAATTTACATTCCCTGTAGTTTATGCAGATTTGTGAAAACAACATTACATACACTGAACGCGTTAAAACCCCATGCTTTACAGAAGAACAGATGCAAAAAACTTGCCAACTCCATTCCCCTCCTCACTGCAAAAAAGCCTCTCACGCAGGTTTGCATTTGATGCTGGTGGGTTAAGCCACGTGACGTATTTATGATTGCTAAACTGACAAATCCAAAGCACACCTCAGGCGTGAGCTGACCGTGTGCTGACCTTGGTACGCCACAGAAGCAGCCTCAAGGGAAATGGAGGAGCACAGTTCCATCTCCACACAAAGAAATAAGTATTTCTGCAGGTAAGAAATAACCATTTCAGTTTGGCTTTCGACACAGAATTTGGGAACAATACTCAAACCAAGAATTTTCTAATGAGAATACAGGTGTTTTAAGGATACCTTTTTCTACCTTCCTGTGGGTTGTTACTGCATCGAGATGCACAATCCGAGAAGAAAAATATTATCATCTCCCAGAGGAAATACTTACCGACCAGTTATAGTACATGTGGCAAAGTTTGTAGGTTAAACGTTGTACGTGATCTGGTTTCAGTTTGCTAGTGTCATAAATTACGTTATAATGAGTGGGTGCAACACAACCATTTCTCACTGCCTGACTCACAATAAAGAAATCATACCTGTAATAGAAAAAAACAAAACCCCAGAAGTCTGGTACAGAAAGGGCTGATTTTCTTAGAAAAATGCAAATCAATTTTGTCTTTCTTATTTCCTTCAAGTCACTTTATGCATACTGAGTAAACCCCAAAAGTATGTCTACACTTTGGTCACAAAACAGTTTCCTCTATTTCTGAAAGGCCAGGAGATCTGGAAGAATGTAAATCATCTTATTACATGGGACAGGTCTTAAGACCATGAAGATCTTAACTGTTCTTCATGTGCAGTTTTCCTCCTGATGACCACCCCGCACACGTACTTAGCTCATGCTCCTCATTTACTCTAGCCCCCCTGAGCCACGTGTGGATGTTTGTCACCCATCACAACACTTGGAACGCCTGCAGCGAGCTGGTAAAATCCAAAAAGAAAGGCAAAACTACCTATGGGAACGGTGGCTGCCACAGAAGACTGCACCGTTTCCTACACGCTCCGGCGTTCCTTGACCCAAGTCGGGCCTTTCACCACATACCGAATGAGCTTTGCATTTCCCACATACCTGACCTGAGTTTTGTGGAGCGTGACTGGCAAAAACATTCAATACTAATTCAATTAATCAACTAATTCAATACTTATTCAATTCAATACTAACAGCAAGCGAGTGAAGTCAACGAGATCTGTGTACGTGTTTTACCTACGCACATGACTGTACAATTCCGAGTCTTCTTCTAGTGACTTCCCAACCACCAAAGAATACTTCCAACGCTTGCTCATAAAATGCACCCTTACAAAGTAATAAAAGCTATGTGCAATGTCAAAAGTACAGCTAGATAGAATTTCATTTCAGTTAAGGACAAGTTGGGCAATCCTATCAACAGGCAGTCATTCAGTACTAAACCTTTAAAAAAAAAAAAAATCAAAAAAAGGAACACCAGGAAGTGAAACACACAGATACTTACTTAAACACAGTTACAAAATACTCTGATGCATACAAATACCACATATTGGAAACCATGAAATAATTGCAAAATTAATTCATAAAATTTAAACTTCTCCATTTTCTCCATCTACACATTCACTGTGATTTCTTTTCAAAAGGACAGAAGTGTGGAAAGTGTTCTTCTACTTGATCCCATAGCCAATTTAATATCGGATATATTTCCGTTATTATCAGGTTGCCAGCAACCAGAAGAAATGTTACTTCTATACCAACTTACCATTCTGGTCTGGTAACCTCCACATCAACAACAGTACCAGGGGGTGGGTTTTTAAGTTCTCCACCACACCGCGCAAAGAATCTGGTATTCACTCGTTTCTTCACGACTATCACAGTAAGTCTTGGACTAAAATAAAGGAAAATAAAAGAAAAACACCACAAAACTACCCTGAAAAACTGCACTGTGTATTTCAGGAGCAGATTCCCTACAGCTTCAAATGAAAAGCACTTTTAGAGTTCTCCAGGGCATTAATTTCATATGTAAGTCTTCACTGATTCATTGATTTAGATTAAATAGGACATCGTTCATAACTTTAGATTCTTAGTTTCAGGTGCAACTTTGATACTACTACTCACCAATCCAGCTTATATTTAACTTCAGAGGGAGACACAAAACAGACCAAAAAGGGATCTTCTAAATACAGATCCAATTTCCACTCTCTCTCTACCTCATCTTCTCATATAGAAAACACTGAGTTTTAACAGTGGTTTTGGTGAAGAGCAAGGCATTAACAAAAGCTAAACAAAAGAAGTAAGCACTTCAGTTCTTACTATCTAGAACTTGTTTTGTGCTCCGCTTGCGGGCAGTGTCAGGAAATATTTTCATTTTTCAGAACAGATTAAGAAACCAAGTCACTGCAGTTGGTAAGTTTTAAAACGGAATGTTGAAAACTGCGCACAACATAAGTGACTGGACACTAGCCGGTCCTTTCAAAGTGGAAAGAAAAAAAAATGGACCTACCGGACACATGTGATAGTAATCAGGCTATGATCAACCAGTTGAAAAAAAGCATTAATTACCATATGCATCAAGAATGCCTAAAGAGTATATGCGCATGTGCGTACTCATGGGTATTGAACACTCATGTGGTGCGTGTACTACAGATTTTTCCTATTACATTACAAGTTAGGTATCTCAAATCACATAAGCAATCATCAGAAATGCGGCTATCTGAGCTCAAGTAAAAATAAATAAGGCTGAAAAGATGACACGATCTTCATCTGTAACCACTTCTTGTATCCCAGCGCATATTTCTCTTACAGTATAAAAAAGGGGGTTGGTGGAAAGAGACTTACTTGTAGTCTTTACCAACACTCTTCAAGCAATCCAGAAATTGAGGCACTTCATAATTAACCAAAGTATTTAGCTGTCCATCTCCTACACCATCACGATACACAATAATACGAGAGGGCAAATACTTATTCCACTTGAACCAGTCTCTTAGAGCAGCTTAAAAAAGAAACAGAGTAAAAGCTGTTAGCTATAATGACAGTTCATTCCAAAATAAAAAAATGGATTTTTATTACTGGAGAAACAGCAGTAAGTTTTGAAACCTCAGGTCCTCAATATTTCGGTAACCCAAAACAGGTATGCATCACAATGCACAAATGTTACCTGCAAAAAGAATTCCGGTTTACCTGCTTACCGACACAAAAAGAACGAACCTAAGGAGATTATCTACTCCACTGGCCTCTCTCACAGCAAGGAGCTGTCATCCTTTAAATCTGTCTCCTTTAAAGCATACTGCTAAGTAGCATTTAATTACTGTTAAGAAATATGGGAATCAATGAAAGAACGTACACAAACCGCTATTAATTTTCAGCAATATTTATAACTATTTTTAATCTGTTTTTATCTGAGTGCGAGTTAGTAACGCCTCTGCTCAAGGCGGCTGAGGAGTGTGTTTTGAGGAAGCTAAACCGTCATTCCGCAGGTCTGACTCAACAAGAGCAGAAAGCCTTCCCTTACTTTGCAAGCAGGCTTTCAGCCCGTCCACGAGTTCTTGCCCACGACCTTGAACAGCACAGCGGGAGAACCACCTGGCAAGAACAAAATAAAAGATCATCTTCAAAGCATTTCCCAGGCTTACTTTAATGAAGTTACTTTTTAAATGGCTATGACCACTTAGCCTTTATGGCTACTGTGGGCCAAGGCAGTCAAGGAAGAGTTAGCGTACTACGAGACTTCCCTCACAAAGCCCCTGTGGCAGACAAACACCTTACCACCATGTGCAATTCCTCTCCATCAAAAAACTTCCACTCAAGTCAATGCAAAAGGGAGAAGAGCCTGTCACCCTGACACCCTCTATTCATCCCAGCCCTTGCCCCACCATTCGTCCCCTCTCCCAAGCGCTGTGGAATGACAAGGCTATTTTTTAAGGGATGCAGTGGAAAAAAAAAAATAATTCATAATATATAGTTCTTGTTAACAATGTATAGTAAATCAATTTGGACCTTTCATGATGGCCCACCACATTCAAACTACTTTTCAGTTAAGGGAAAGATAAAGATTCTGTTTTGTTTTTTTTTTTTTTTTCTCTGGCATTCAAATCTTACCGTGTCATTGTTTGATTCAGGCTAGCGACAAATCCTGCAATTGACTGCTTTCCAGATAAGGTGTCATGGTAACAATCAATTCCCACAATCATTACCTGTTTCAGCTTAAAAGGAGTCAATGCAGAACATGGATTAGTATGTGAAGACATGCCAAAGCACCCATCATCTCCACCCTACAGTGGAACAAGAATGTGACATAAGCTGTATGGTTTCAGGACACTTAAGTAAACCATGGGCACGGAATTCTTTAATTAAATGTCTCCTTACGTCATAGTTAACTTCATGCCTCTTCCCACAGACACAAAACAGACAACACAAATAATACCCAGTTTTCTTTTTTGGGGAAAAAGGCTTGCTTGCTAAATAAGGCTCAATAAAGACAGCGGTTACCATTCCAAAAAAAAAAAAAAAAAATTACTTACTGGGATCTCAACACTCCAAAGTTCTCCACCCATTTTGCAGTTCATTTGTAAGGCAATTTTTGTTGTTATGGCCATAGCAGTCTGAGGCTTGCTTAAAGTGCGAGCAATCACACATTGACTTGGAATGGGACAATCTGTACATAAGTATTTCTTGATAGCATCATACTTATCCTTTCGGGAACTAGACAAAACACAAACTGCCTTTAAAGGGAAAAAAAAAAGTTTTCAAGCAGCTGCATTCTCAGATTTGCATAACAGCTGTAGTTCTTTAGGAAAAGTTTCTTACGCTCAGGAGAAATATTCAAGTGTTCACAGCGAAAGAAATACGCGGAAAGTTTCAGTGTCTATACTTCAGAGCCAAGCACAAAGGCTCTCCTCCAGAAGGATACTCATAGTTAGCCTGGGGTTTGAACAGGACTATGAGTAGGCATGTAGTAGATACTCAGGAGCCAAGAGTTTTATTTCCGAGAATGAATCCCACTAGTCTTAAAGCACCAATTACAGAGACTAACATGATTTGAAATTATGGAGTCAAATACATACTATGTTTGTGTCAGGGGTAACACTTTGCTGCAAAACCCTTAAATAAGCTTCTGTTCTATCATCTACTTCAATCCTGAAAAGGAAGAGAAAAAGTGCTTACAGAAAAAACCCAACTAACAGCTATTGAAACTTCAGCAAAAACATAAATGCTCATTATGCATCAGTACCGTATGAAGTGTCACATTTATAGCTGTTAATAAACGTACAATATTCACAGACTTTGAAGATTAAAGAGGAATCACCCCCAACTCAGATTTCCAAGAGCAATGAAATCCAAAGTTAAAAGCAAGCACAGGTACTCAAAGTACAAGTAAGAAAATCAGTCACTAGAGAAAACTGAACAATTTGCACACTGAAAGCAACTTTGTTTTCTTAAAAATCTCACAGAAGTCGGTAGTGTGACATACTATGCTATCTCCCCATTTAACAGCCTACGCATGCTAACAGATAGACCTTAACAACTATAAACGCATTTGTCCATCGGCTTTCTAAAGACACTTACATGGTTGCCTTGTTCATTCTGATGCCCATGGATGGTGTGACTTTAAACAGATTTTGAAGTAACGTATTAGCAATATCATAGTTGCGGCGTGTGTATATTAATAACCAGTTGTCCAGAGGCTTTGCACAGATTAAGGGAGCTCCCCTAGTTTCCTTTGACCAATCAGCAAACTGAGGATTGTAATCAAACTGTAAATAAGAGATGGGAGAGAAAGAAAATCAACACCCTACCAGACAAGCTATACCACAACTACTTCCTGATATGCTTCAAGAACAGACTGTAACGCTTCTGCCTAGAACAAATTACTTGATTTTTATCTGTTCTTTTACTGCTATTGTTGTGCATTTAGAATAAGCTTTATCTAGCCCTTCCAAGAAATCCTACACTCTTCAAATGTGTCACTCATAATTATGCAGATACTTATAATTTTTTTCCCAGATAAGTTATTACTATTTGCTGCAGTTTTTGTGCTACAAAGACATAACTGTTAATGTATTGACTTATTTTTCTCCCATTTTTCTTTTTAATAACTGCTTGAGAAAAAGAAAAGTATTATTACAAAGAAGATATCAGATCTTTTCAACAAGACTAAAAAAAGCTTTACCAAATACACAGATATACAGATCAAGACACTGTAGAATGCCCTTTTCCATCCAGCATCCATTCAAAAGAAACGACCTCTACTACAGAGCAAACACATCATGTTTTAGGGCAATCTATGACTTATTTGAAATCTAAGTTATTCGCACTGAAGAGTCACCCCACCGTTGAGTGCACAGATGCTGTACGTGTTCTGTCTACTGAACTGAAATAATTAGTGGCTTTCCATTTCAAAGCCTCGGTATTTTAATAAATGGGAACTAGTTACAAACCCCTCTAGTCTCCTAGTTCGTGTATCTGAAATGACTCTGTTTAGACAGAGGGACTGTTTTGCAAGGCAGATGCTATTGTAATGCAAGGCAGAAAAATCTTCAGGTGTTTCTAAACAGAACTTGTAAACAATTTAAGTTTGCAAGTCTCCTGTTTGGACAAAGACTTGTGTGTAACGTTTGCACTTATAATCAATCCTTCATTTATAAACCACAAGTAGTATTTTCTTCCTTAAGAACTTGCTTCATCAGTGAGAGACCCAGAAGTTTTATTTACCACATTTCCTGATTGAAGGATCTTTTCTCCTTGGACAACTCTTCCCGTAAAGGATAATAAATTAGAATCAAAGCTTAAACCCCAGTCTCGGAGTTCCTTCTGAACACTGTCATCTCTGTTTAAAAACAAGATTTAAATTAAAACAAAGAAATTTTCCTTGCTGGGACTTTTCTTTTTTAAAACCAGTAAGATTTCCAAAAAGTTTGTTGCAAAAAAGAAGTTTATCATACAGATTTTTCATGACAAAAATACAGAAGGTACTAAGGTAGCATACTTTCGGATGTAGTCAATAAGTCTTCTAATTTCATGTTGCCTTTGCTCAGGTGGCAGCCGTGTATGAGCAGCCAAGTCCTTCATCATATTAAAATCATTACGCATCTTCTCGGTTAATCCTGTTAACAGCAAAATCTTTTTCTGAGTAAAAGTTAGACTAAGAGAAGTAAACTTGCAAGTCATACAGATTAACTATGCATGTACTGCAGACATGTAAAGTGGTGTCAGTAGTAACCAAGGTTTTCAGTTGCTCTCTGTACATACATTCCCATCTGCACAGAAGAAAAAATTTCTGGATTTTTGCACTTAGGAGGAAACCACACAAAACACGCAGCTCTTCATTTACATTTCCAAAGCAAAACAAGACAGTGCTGAGATGGACAGGTATGGCTAGCGCAAAGCGAGTATCTCAGAGGAAAATACGTATTAATGTATCTCACAGAATCATCCACTTATAGTAAATTTCTCTTTTTCAACAGAAGTTCTACTGCCAAAAAACTCTACAAGTTATCAGCGGGCCAATGTTGAACACTGTACGTAAAGACTATACAACATCAAAACCCTTCAAACTTTTCAGCCTCATTTAAGTATCTAATTTTTTTGCTACAAAACTTGTTTCTAAACTCACATTTATACAAACAAAACATTTCTACTTGGCAAGAGGCTGCTGTCAAAATACCAGCTGCAGTAGGCATTATGGTTTGACAGATGCTTTGATATGAAAAAAATGCTACAGTACCTGTTAGGAAGCACAGCTCTGGAATTAGAACCACGGGCCCTGGCATCATGCTTCCTCTCCTCCTCCTAGACTGACTGATCAAGACAGGCTGGTTCAAGTCAGTAATTTCTTGATTATATTGCTGTATTAGAAACAGATATCGTATGTTAGTTTATTCATAACAAGCACTCAGTTTTCTTAATAATAATGCTCACTTTAGAAATGCTCATTTTACTTTTCCTAAAACTAACAAAACCAAAACAAAAGCCACCAGGAACTTTTTCCAATTAGCACATCTAACTTGAGAGAAACTGGTTTTGTCAGAAAAAGCCAAGAGGTGGTGCTCTCTATTGGTGCCACCAAATTATTGACTCATAAGAGACAACAGAAACAATGCTTCTGCCTTGCCTGAGGTGGTATCACTCAAGATCAGGCTGCTCGTTCCAGTTCAGTAATGGACAAAGTTCCTGCTCTATAGAGGAATTTAATTCAAGACATCACAAGAATCAAACAAAATTCCAACGAAGTTTCTGAAATTCAGCCCTCCCGCAACCTTTCCTTGCATCTGGCAATAGCTGGTCTGTCTAGCAGTCACTAATTTAGATTAGGAATAAGAAAAAAACACCCACAAAAAGGTAACACAAGCTGACAGTCAACAAACATGCTTCATATTTTAACTTCTTAAAAAGAACCACACCTCAGAAACCATCCAAAGGATAGCATTTACATACAAAAAAGTGAGATCACAACAAAAGTAGGAAGGCAGAGAACATTTATCATTTATAAACTCCATCCTGAACCAGAATGGGTAATAAACTAGAAGCAAAATTTTTTATTAAGTCCCATCCTGTTCTACAGTTGAAACTGATGTGTGGAGAGATTTCACGGTTACAGTGGTAAGCCTCAATGGCAGAGAAGGTTAAGCTACGAAAGACCTACATAAACCTTGTTTCAAAGAACCAAAAGCATCGAACAGTAATTTCTCTTAAGATGACTGTCCATATATTCTACCTCCAGTAAATTATCAGCAAAACTTGCTGAGGGTATACTGCCCCATCACCCAAAGCGTTAATAAAGACGTTCAAGAGGATCGGCCCCAGTATTGACCCCGGGGTACGCCGCTCGCTCCTGGACTGCGGCTACACACTGCGCCCCCAGCCACCACCCCCGGGCCTGGCCCTTCGGCCAGCTGTCGGTGCACTTCATCGCCTGCTCATTCAGCCCACACGCCATCAGCTTCTCCACGAGGATCTTGCGGGAGACAGTGTCAAAAGCCTTACTGAAGTCCGGGCAGACAATATCCACTGCTCTCCCCTCATCTACCAAGCCAGTCATTTCATCATGGAAGTTTATCAAGTTGGTTAGGCATGACTTTCCCTTGGTGAAGCCACGCTGACTACTCCTGATGACTTACTTGTCGTTCACGCGCCTGGAAATGGTTTCCAGGATCAGCTGCTCCGTCGCTTTCCCAGGGATCACTGTCAGGCTGACTGGCCTGTAGTTCCCCGTGTCATCCTCCTTGAACTTCTTCAAGATCACAGTGACATCTGATTTCCTCCAGTCCTCGGGCACTTTTCCCTATCACCACCATCATTTAAAGATTATTGACAGTGGCCTCACAATGACATGAGCCAGCTGCCTCAGCTACTCGTAGGTGCAACCCCTCAGGGCCCACGGACTCAGGTATGCCTAATTTGCTGAAGTATTCCCCAACCTGATTCTCTTCCACCAACGGTGTATCTTCCCTGCTCCAGGCTTTTCCCTGGTCTCTGGGGCCTGGGAATCCTGAATGGTGGCCTTGCTAGTAAAGACCGAGGTGAAGGCAGCATTCGGTACCTCATCCTTTTCCACACCCTGTGTCACCAGCGGCCCTTGCCTCATTCACAGAAGTAGGGCCAAATTTTCCCTAGTTCTCCTTTTATCACTCATGTACTTATAGAAGCCCTTCCTGTCACCTTGACCATTCTCGGCCAGATTCAATTCCAGCTGGGTTTTGGCTTTCCTAACCTCATTCCTGCATGCTGGGACAATGTCTCCATATTCCTCCCAGATTACCTGTCCCTGCTTCCACCTTCTGTATGCTTCCTTTCTGAGTTTTCCCGGGAGCTCCTTGTTCATCCATGCAGGCCTCCTGGCATTTCTGCCTGACCGACTACTCATTGGATGGACTACTCATGCCGAATCATGCTGCATAGGTTACTTACTGCTCACAGCTTACATAACAACCATTAAAAATAAAATTCTATTAAAGAAAATTATGAATTACAAATCCATGCATCATGAGTAAACCTCTAACAATGCTCTAACGTGTCCAGTTAAAGCATAATGCACACACTGACAGTTCAGCTTCCATACCCTTTTGTAGTAGTCCACGTAGCTGATCTCAGAACCATCTGATTTTCTAAAGGTACACTGTGGATTGGCATCCCAGTCGATGTCATCAACTCTGTATGTTCTGTTATTGTACCTAGAGACAATTTCATCAGGTTTTTTTTAAGTCTTAAGTCAAACAGAAAAGAAATAGAACCGCGGGACAAAAAAAAGTTAATAGCAATACTCGTGTAAGTTGAAAGTTTTGCTCCTATCAGCAGGAGTAACTTCTTTTCAATTGTAACAGGTATCAATTCTACTAAAAGCTAAACTGTAATAAAACCAAATGAAAACAGAACTAATGCAGTATGTGCTTTGTGCTTTTGTAAACACTGTCACCCCCATTAGTTTGCTAGCTTGACAATGGTATCATTTTCATGCTTTCTGATGTTTCATTGTATACTTCAGGACATGGAATGTCCAAAAAAATAAATAGAAAAAATAAAATATAAATAAATA